AGGGGACTGGACTCGATGACCTCTCGAGGTCCCTTCCAGTCCTATAATCTATGAATCTATGAAAATGAAGAGAGTTGAGTGACTAGAGAACACCCATAGTTTAGATTATGTCACTTTCCTCTGCCATTGTTGTTAATCCTGTGTATTAGATTGAGTGCTAGCAGCACGGTCTGTATCCTATTGTCAGCTGTAGATGGGCACTGCAGTCGAAATGTTGATTTTGGTTAATGAATCTTCATGTACAGTATGTTGCTTGAAGTAGTCAGGAGAGTTAGATTTGTTTTTTTCTGCCTGCATTCAAATCAAGACTCGTAAAATGACAACCATGATTGACATTCAAGCTAGAGAAATGTAGAGGAGTAACATGTTAAGCATGTGAAAGAATAAATAGAAGGTTTTGTTGCCTTTTGGAGTATTTAATTTCTTGGCTTCAGGCAGAAGAGGAAAAGAGGACTTTTAATTGGTATGCACTATTTTCTGTCTCCATGGAATCACAGAAGGGCAAAGACCTTTTTAAGTGTGAATCAGAAAGATGGGATTCTCAGACTCTTTCCTGGTGTGGAGTACTTTTTAATACACAATAATCTCATAGATACATAGTGAATGAGGGGCATTCACTATTACACAGGCCACCTCTTCCCATTAGCAACATAGTATCATTCCTGTGAAAGCGACAACAGTTGCTTACATGGAAATGTGAAATTAGGAAAGTATTTAATATAACTTGATTTCTCTTAGCAGCCAGAAATAAGGAGAAGAGCCAGGAAACCAGTCAGCTGTCCCCTTATTTTGTGACCTTCTGTCATAGATATTAGAAATAGCAAAGACCTATTAAGTCATGCAATTACATTCAATTGCCAGGTAGGGTTATTCCTTCTGATGCTCACTGTGGTGCTTTGTCCAGTATTGTAAATGTCTCTAGTGATAGGGCTTAGGCTAGGTCTACACTACGGGGGGGGTCGACCTAAGATACGCAACTTCAGCTACATGAATAGCGTAGCTGAAGTGGCGTATTTTAGGTCGACTTACCTGGCTGTGAGGACGGCGCCGAATCGACCGCTGCCGCGCCACCGTCGACTCCACTTCCGCCTCTTGCCGTGATGGATTTCTGGAGTCGACGGAAGAGCCATCGGGGATCGATTTTATCGCGTCTTCACTAGACGCGATAAGTCGATCCCCAATAGATCGACTGCTACCCGCCGATTCGGTGGGTAGTGAAGACGTGCCCTTAAATTGCTTCCTGTTAGAGACCTTCCATAGTCTAATAGAATTCAGTGTTATGAATTTTTTCCTGATATTCAGTTCAAATTTACCTTCCATCACCACTATGTTCACCCCTGTATAACACCCTAAATGTTTATACCTTACAAATACTTAAGGTTATCATGTACCCCATCAGTAGGTATTTAATGTATAAAGCAAGCATGTTACTCTGAAAAACAAGTTCAGGGGGGAAGGCCCACGTATTATAAACAAGAGCAGCAGTTAGAGTATTTGACTCCCTAGAGGGAGTTTAGATTAGCCAGCACATGCATCCTTATTAAAAATTGAAAGCTGTTGGATTTGGCTGCATCACCTGCAGCAAGGGCCAGTAAATGGAGCTGAAACCATTAGACTCATTAGGGAGAAGGAAAAGAACATGTTTTTTTTAATTAAGCAGCAAAACTAAAAATAAATAAATATTTTGCTTCCCTCTTCCTTTCTCTAACTCTCTTACAATGTTGCCATTCAGTAATTTTGGTTAGTGGTTCAGGAACAATCATCATAAAACTGTCTGAATTTTGTGTTAAAGAATCTTGATTTAAATATCCAGACCTTGAACAAAAGCAGAGAAATGTCATGGGCTGTCCTGCAGTTCCATGTGCACCTTGAAACTATAAATGAAAACTGCAAAGTCCAAGTTTGAATTTATCATAACACTACGTTCAGTTCAAACAAGATGTCTGGGAGCAGAACTGAAACTATTTTTCCAAAATAAAAACACAGCTGGACATAGGGACCAGAAGAGGGGAGGAATCAAGCAATGATCTCAAGGTTTATTTTGTTTGCTGGAAAAGAACTTGTGTCACTGAATGGGCTGCACTTCTGTGTGGAAAAAGGCTTTCCCAGTGTGTATCAGCTTTAGTACATGAAATCCCGCTGAGCTATAGATGCTGCAGAAAGTACAGGGCCTGTTCTCTTAACAGTTGGCTCTTTTTTTTCTTTTTCTTCAGTTTATGGTAACATTAATGTTTTAACTGCACAAAAGCAGTAGGATTATAGATGTACTTTAGGTAATCCATCCATCTTTGACTTGCAAATGGAGCAGGAGCCCACTGGAACAGGAAGCAGTAGACTAAAAGGTTCTTGCTTTTAAACATTAAGACATCATGAGATTGGTTCTGTGCAGGCACACCCGTGTGCCTGCACATAACAGCCTTTTTGAAGCCTGCTTAAGCTACACAGAACCAGTTGCAATATTGATGCCTAAATCAATACATGATGAAGAAGGGTAGGGTTGCCCTTAAGGGAATTGGGCTTAAACCCCTCCTGTGACAAATCACCTGTTTCGCAGCTGATTCTATGAGTCTGAGGTTCAGGTGATAGCTTCAGGGCTGGCTCCAGGCACCAGGGCAGGAAGCAGGTGCTTGGGGTGGTCAACGGAAAGGGGCGGCACGTCCGGCTCTTCGGTGGCAATTTGTTGGTGGGTCCTTCAGTCCCTCTGGGAGGAAAGGACTGGCCGCCGAATTGCCACCGAAGAATGAAGCGGCGCAGTAGAGCTGCCACCGAAGTGCTGCCGATCGCGGCTCTTTTTATTTATTTTTTTTTTTTCCGCTGCTTGGGGTGGCAAAAAAGCTGGAGCCGGCCCTGGATAGCTTGAAGATCACATGGTTTTCATGAAACCAGCAAGTAGCTCGGTTGCTAAGAAGAGGTTCAGGCAATAGAAAGGATCCTGCCAGAGTCTCTGGGTCAGGGGAGGAACCGAGGACTAGATCCACAAAGGTACCTAGGCACTGAACTCCAACATTTAGGTATCACTGACATTCTCAAAAGCACCACTCAGCTGCCACCTACCCTGTAGGCACCTAAATTCTGATAGGCATCAAAGTTTCCCCTGGTGGGCAACTGCCAAACCACCTAAGGCCTATGGCTACCCCACAACTAACAAGCTGCTTCGTGCCTTAACTCATGCCTAAGCCCCAGCAGGATTCTCAAATGAGTCATTCACTCGCAGGGCTCAAGCCAGTGAGCATATCTCTGAGCATGCCTGTTGGATCAGGCCTTGCACAAAAGACAACTGGGGGCAAGCAAGTCAGGAATTTTTCATGCATGTGCATGTCAGTCTGTCCTCAGAATACCCAGTAGCCAGGGAGCACTTCCCTGGGATGTGCAAGACCCAGAATCAAATTGCTGGTCTACCTGATTTGGAACAGGGATTTGAACTCAGGTCTCCCATGTGAGTGCTCTAACCACTGGGCTATCGAGTATTCTGAGTGGGGTCTCTCTCTTTTCTCCTGTTGGAACTGTTTCATTGTGTATAAATAATTAAATATTATTTGGAGCCTGGACTTGAACCTGAGTGTTCCACCTCCCCAGTGAGTGCCCTTAACCATTGGGCTATAAAGTCAAACTCTCCTCTGAGAAAGGACTGACCTGGGGCTATAGTCAGTCTCTCTCTCTCTCTCTTCTTGAGAAAGGGCAGATCTGCCTCAGGCATCTAATTCCAGCATAGACAGGCACCTCCTTGGCCTGTCAGTCAGGTACCTAGATTGCTGTGAGTTAGGTGCCAAAGTACTTTTGTGAATTTGGGCCTCAAGCCCTGCCCTTTTCTTCTGCATTTCACTCCCGGCTAGCTTAGGTGGCTCCCCACTCAGTGTGCTGGCTTCTGAGGCTCCCTTTCTTAGGTGCCTGACTTGCCCCATGCATTTTATGCAGAGCCTGGGCACCTAACTTGGGGCTGAGGACTCTAATT